AAACAGTAATAAAGTTTAAAAGAAATAACAGATTACTTTAAAAAAGCAAAAATATAAAGAAAAGGAATGGAGAAGGAAGAAAGGTAAATAAAAAAAGAAAGAATAAAAATAAAATAAAGTAAAAATCAAAAAACAAAAAACGCACAAAAATAATCTCTCAAAAACAACCTCAGAAAAAGGAATGTCACTTGTTGGCTTCAAAGTAGCCGAACCGGTTTTTCTGGTTGCAGTTGGCTGAGGGTCGATTGTTGTGATTTTTTCAGCCAGCCCCTCTCAGGATCCAGACACTTGGCTCCTCTCCCCCAGCTCCCTACAATGGGGAACTAGGACTTTCTCGCAGCGCTCCCCTCCCAGGGGTTACTGCCATAGTCTGGTTTGCTGTGTTTGCAGGCACCTGCACCGGCCTAGTTGCTTGGTTCCCTCGGGATTGAGCACAGGCCTGCCCCCGTTCAGTTGGGAGGCCCCAGACCCTCTGCCCAGTCGTGGGCTCGCTGCCAAGCTGGGTGTGAAGCAGACCAGGCTGCAGTGTCTACTGGATTCAGAGCCCCAGGCTGCACCTCTGAGTTCTCCTGGGCTGGCAACCACAGAGTCTTTGGTTGGGGCCCTTTGTCCTCCGCACCCTCTCTGTAAACTCTATCAAACAAGTCTCTCCTGGCCCCCCACCTTGCTTGGCCAGAAAGGGAGGGGGTTGTGGGTCTCAGCTCTTTTCCCAGGACCCCTCAGCGTCCCGGGCTTCCAGATAGTCTGAGGGGGGTAGACTGGAAGCCGGGAGCCGATCTGAGGACTGGGCGCAGACCTAGATACTCTGTGTGCTTGTCATGGCACGCTGCGTGGTGTGTATCCCTTCTCCTCCCGTGTTTGTCTGGGTCCCCTGGCCAACCTCTGGCAAAAACAAAAAAACAAAAACAAAAAAAACCTAGGGATTTAGCAGCACCACGCTGGGTGCTGGACCCAGAACTGTGTGCAGGCTGAAATCTCCTCTGCTCCCCTCTAGTTGGGTCTCTTGGCCGGTCCGGGCCCAAAAATCCTAGGGAGGGAGCTTTCTGGGCGCTGAACGTTGGCCTAGGCGCCCTCAGGCACTTGCCCAGACACACTGCGTGTGGAGCGACTAGTTCCCCAGATTGTGCGCAGGCTGAAATTTCTTCCACACCTCTTTGCCTGGGCCACTTGGCCTGCCCGGCAGAAAAATCCCAGGGAGGGAGCCCTCCGGGCACTGAAGGCTGTCCCAGGAGCCGTTGGGCTCTCACCACAGGGCGCTGGTTCCCCTACCCTGCACTAGCTGTTTCTCCCTGCTCCATCCCAGAGACTACTGTACTGCTGCTGTCTCCCTACCGTCTGGTTCCTCCGTGACCGATGAGGTTTCTGGTCTCTTATTTTCATATATACTTGGCAACTGCTGGCTTGCTGGCCTCACCTCCTCCGATCGGATAGGTTTCTGTCTCTTTTGTACTAGGAACTGGTATCTGCTCCGTCCTAGTCCACCGCCATCTTGAAACCCCCCTATACATCGTTCTTAAGTTTTGTAGTCAGTGCCACATGGCTCTGTCTTCAGCCTTTTCTCATTCAAGATTTTAATCTCTAATATAAATAAAGATACACATTTTATTACATTTGCTCACATAGCCAAATCATTGCAAATGAATCAGATAATGAAATCAAGATCCCATGAAAAAAATCTCAATGTTAAAATAATATAACATATACTTCTAGATGAAACTTAGCTGGAAAAATATAAAGTCCTATACTTAGATAAATGATAATTATAATATTTCGAGATGGAGACTATGATTTAGTGATAAATATTATGAAAAAGAGTGAAGATTTTTATTAAATATACTTTGCTAATGTGTATTTTTGTTTGGTTTACTTTTATTTGCCTAGAAGAGACTCCACTACATAGAAAAACATTCAATGAATACTGTTTGAACCATCAATAAATGAGTGGATCAAAAAGCTGTGGTACATTTACACAATGGAATACTACACAGAAGAAAGAAAGAAGGAACTCTTACCCTTTGCAACAGCATGGATGGAACTAGAGAATATTATTCTAAGTGAAGTAAGCCAGTCAGTGAAAGACAAATACAATATGATCTCACTTATAAGTGGAATCTAATGAACAAAATAAACTAACAAACAAAATACAACCACAAGCATGGAAATATGGAACAAGCAGAAAGTGAGCAGAGAGGAGGGGAGAGGAAGACAATGGTGGAAAGAAGGGTGAGGGACTAGACAAAGAACATTTATGAGTGACTCATGGACAGGGACAATGGTATGCGGATTGACTGTGGGAGTGAGAGGTTAAATGGGTGGAGGAGAGCAAAGGGGAGAAACCAGGGTAACTAATAAAATAACAATAAAATGATTAATAAAAATATTTTTAATGAATACATCGAGTGTAAGTTATGACTACTACAAAAAGCCACTAAAACACTAGGTTGCATTAATAGAAATAGACATACAATAGAACAAGAAAGATGATACCCTTTCCATCCACAGGCAGACCACAACTGTAGTAGGATTATGCCCACTTCTGAACAACATTCTTTGAAATGTATGTGTAAAGTCATGCACATACAATTTCAGCAGAAAGTTGCCAGAATTATGATGATTCTCAAAGCCAGCAGGAATCTCAGAAAACAGAGGTTAGTCATCAGGGTCACTATCTTTAAACAATTTACAAAAAGGTATTTATGTTGAGGAGGGGTTTGATTCATTCTAGATAGTGCCAACATAAAGGGCTAAAGCAAATTACAAGAAGAAAGATTTTAGTCAATATAAAGGAAGGATTTTGTAGAAGTAAGGCCTATGCTGAGATGCCAGAAATGTTTTATGAACTAAGAAATTTCTTCATTTTGACAGCCACCGGTCAAATGTTAGAGGGAAGAATAAGAAAGTCTTAATGTGTCAGACTTAGAAACCTCTAAGATACTTCCAGTACTTACTCTTTTAATGATTTCTGAATAAGATGATACCAAAAGTGAAAAAAATCTCCTTTGACTCACAAACACCATGAAAAGATAAGGCAGAAAAATCACAAATTCAAGAATATGAGCTTGATATTTATCTGAGGGAAGTTGGTAAACTAAAACCATGTAGTGATGCAAATAAATTTAATTTTTACCTGTTATTTTCTAGAAATGAAGTTATACACTTATAAATAAACATACAAGGAATTAAAAAGCATTTAATTCTAATTCAGTTAACCAATAATTTTAACAATAAATGGTAACAAAATGACAAAGATATAAGATATTAATGAAAAAGTTGCCTGAGCAGTTAAGATATTATCTAAGCCAATTTTAATATATTTTTTACTGTGACTGTCACAAGAATGACACATTAGTACTTTCCTTCTGATATGATAAGTATACATACATCTGTCTTAGCTGATATAGCTCAGTAGGTTGGAGCATTGTCCAGTACACCAAAAAGTTGTGGGTTTGATTCCTAGTCAGGGCACATACCTAGGTTTCAGGTTCAATATTTGTCCAGGGCACGTATGGAAGTCAATAGATTGATGTTTCTCTTACACATTGATGTTTATCCCACACATTGATGTTTCTCTATCTCTCCCTCCCTTCCTCTCTCCTTCCTTTTCTTCCTTCTCTAAAAAAATGAAAAAGTGCTCTTGAGTAAGGATTAAAAAATATACATCTGCTAACTAATGTCACCCCAATAAATTTAATTAGAAAAACAATGTAAAAATTTGACCCACAACATGGTAGGAAAGAGGGTAAGGGCTCTACAAACTGGTACCCAGTATCCACTGAAGAAATCTTCATTGAGCAAAGAAAGGGTGTTTCCTTGGACTCCATCATGTCCATTGTACTTGCCTTGAATCCTTCATTCCAGCACCAGTTGAACCAATTTTCTCCTGCCACTCCAGACTCCTTCAAGACCTAGGTCAACTGCCCCATATCTCATTCGCCCAGGCCACCTCTGGAATTCTGTGGCACTATGTCTTTGGTATGCAGCTGTCCTGCCATCCTCAGGGGCAAAGTTGGGAGTTGGAAGTGAGAACTGACATAATATTCTATTACCAAAAGTAAACAGCATGGGTACTGTAGCAAATGACACTTGGCACGTACCTCACAACTTCACAGAATACATGCTTCCTTCCCAAATGATACGCAATCCCCTATAGATCAAAGGAAACCCCAGAATCATTAAATATGTATGGAAGGATTCTGTAGGCCAGGCACATGGAAAATCAAGCGGGTGGTGTTTATTTCTCCTCTCCCCTCACACAGAAGGGAGTTAGTGCCTGAGAGCTGGAACCAGATCTCTACCTTGGCTCCTCCCTGACTTTAAATAGTGTCATTTCTCTCCTTCCACATGTTTTGAGCCTTAGTTCCTTTTTCAAAATGGAGGAAAGATGGCAGAGTGGAAGTGGAAGGGGAGATTTATGGCAGAGGTGGGGTGGGGATAACAACCTCTAAAGCAAAACAAAAATAGTACAAAATGTAAAAACAAAATTTACTACTATAATATTTTATAACAACAGAAGATAGCTGGAAATACTATGTGCTAACACAATGATACACAGTCCCAGAATGAGTCAGTGTTGTAGGAGATCATTCTTCATGGTGTGGGCCCAGCCCCCAGTGGCAAACATTTACTGCAAAAAAACTTCCTAAAATCCATGCTAAACCTTCCAAGAACAAGTGTAATCGGTTCAACCACTTTGCCCTCTTCATCTGCAAATATCCCTCTTCTGCAATGTGATTAGTGGCATTGCCTCCTTTGTTTCCTGTAAAAGGTAACCACCTAAAGCAATCTGTGCATAGTAAATAAGGGCTATCATGTAATGTGCAGAGAAACCCAATTAAGGCCGGTAACGGCAAGGGCCACGGCTTTTGTTCCCCTTGAGAGAAAAGCCATGCTGTCCCTTTCCTCTACTGGACTCAGTAGTCCATGTGAATGTCTCATTTCATTCACAATGATGTGGACACTGTGGGCCAGTGTCCACATCAAGTGTTAGACTAAGAGCCCTTTCAGTGGACCGCTGAATAGATTAGATCTGCTGTGTCAGCTGTGGGCCTGGAGATGACCCCATCGGCCTGCCATAGGGCCTGCTTGTAGCACATAAATGCATAGGGCACATTCTTGTCTTCATACAACAGAGGGAGTTTCAGGGTGACCTCCAGAGGCTCAGCACCTGCAGCCATCACAATGAACCCAGAGACGCCTCTGCTGAGGGTTTTGCTGACCTCACTGGCTCCTTTCTGAAGCTGTACAGAGTTACATGACTGTTGACTGAGGTCCAACAGTCTCTTGTTGACTTGGCAGTAACCCAAAATCATGCTCATTGATTAAAGGAGGTCCTTAAATCAATTTTAAAAGGTACTTCAATCAAACTGAAGAGTGTAAATGGCTAGGCAATGAGGACAGAACCCAGTGCTCTGGTGAGGTCTGCCTGGAATGAAGTTGAAAAGCTTGCCTTCACAGTTATGGAGAGCAGGACCTGAAGGCATGCTTAGAGCATGGCACAGTGCAGCAAGGCTCAGAGAAATAATACAGCCCTTCAGCATGCAGAGTACAGTGTGACAAACAACATCCGTATGTCCGTCAGATGCTTACATAAAACAACCTGTGCCTGTCGGAGTTGATGTATGCAACATGTGCCTATTAGGACTGAAGAAAACAACATGTGCTTATCTAAAACAAATGGAAAAAAACATGTTTATGAGAAATTTTGCAAAATCAGCATGACTTTACATTCAAAAGAAGCATAAATGCAGAGGACTTTAGACCATGGATGACACACCCTGAGAACGAGTCACTTAGTATCACCCTGCACATTCTGCCTTGGGGGAGAAAGAGCCTCACTGTGACCCTGTTCCTCTGACACTGTCTTGTAAGACATTGACTTCCCTCTGTCACCTCCCGGACCCAGGCCAGATCTGTACTCTTGGGACTCGGGATCATTATTGCCCAATCCTCTTGTATAATGTTAGTACTGATTTGTTCTGAGTGATTATTATTGTTATTAGGTTAGCATAGATTTGGATCGAATCTGTATTAATAAAAGCTGAGTGAATAGCATAGCCACCTGTGTTGACTCACTGTTATTCCTTGGTGCTGGCAACACCTGTAGGGCTGGTAGCTGTATAGGCAGCCCAGTGCTTTCGGTTCTTGAGGCCTGGGTCAGACAACCTGAGTGGGAACCAAAGGCTGACTTATAGGAAAAACTATGTCACAGAACATATGCTCATGACAACAATGAATATTCAACTCCTGATATTTTTAGCTATAACAAAAATATCTTTTATTGCTCAGTATGAATCATTACATTATATAGGAGAGATATTGATGAAGACAAGGAGTTATGTAAATAGTGCCATGAGGTTCCTACATATTATTTATGAAAATATGTGGGGTAAAATCAGGTGTGGAAGGCAAATATTATTCCCATTCACAGATAAGAACTGTGAAACTCAGAGACTGAATGATCCATCAAGGTCACACTGCCACGATGGAATAAAAATGAGTCTAGACTTACCTGAATCTCATATGCTGCTATTGCCAGTGAACCATCCTACCTTCCTATGTAGTTTTCATGGCCTTTATTTATAGCATAATTTACAACAAATAAAATTATTTTATAGAAACACAGAGTTAGAGTATGAAATAATTTAAACATATAACTCTATTGATTTTTCCCCTGTGTATTTTTTAAAGTATCTGAACAAAAAGTTTAGGGCTTGTTTAGTACTTTCAAGCAAGGTTTTTTTCCTTGCAATATGTTAAAAAGAAACTACCTTTAATTCAAACTGACAGGTGATTTTTCTTAAGGGCCTAGAATGATGAAAGTAACATTTTATGCTAAGACTCTTGAGACTGTAAACCAAATGAGAAGAATTATATGTTTGAACCAAAAATTATGAACTATGGATTCAAAATTTATTAGCATAGATCTAAAAGCCGTTTAAAAGATTGAAAATGATAGAGTTTTCTCTAGTATGCAGGTCCTTTCTAGCACGGAACTGGCAAGTCCATTAGAGCCACAATCTATTAGAGCGAGAATTAAAGCAGAGTCCTGCCTAATGAACTGTGGCTGGTGCTTGGGAAGCAACAGGAGGGTCCCTGACCTATAGAACCAGAAAAACTTGGTATTGGGACCTACATACCACACAGTGGTCTGAGAAAAATTATTTTGTAAGCTCAGAAACATGTAGGTGTATCTACAATTACTTATTTTTCTAATTATTATGGTATATTGTAGATTGATATCACAAGATTCATTTGACCACATTTCCCCAAAATTCACTGAGATTTCTATACCTGGTTCTGATCCAGCTTTAGGTTAAATTAGGTGAAAATCCTTCATTTATATTTGCTAAATATCTCTCAAGATTGGGGCTCCCTAGTTGATTATATCAGGGTGACCATTAAGGCTTAGTCAGTGAAAGATGCTTAGGCTGTAGCACATTCAACCACAATGAATAAACCTCCCACCTCCCCAGACAATGACAAGCTCCAATGGTCTGCAGATCTGGCATTTACCTAATCATGTTTTACACATTCTTTTGGCTCCTACTCTCAAGAGCCGTACTTGTGTCTCTTCAGCTTCGATTCATACTCTACAACTGGAAAATTTTCTCCTATAAACTATTTATTAAGTTGCATGAGAAAATTGTCCCTTATGTTTTTATTCTCTCAAAAGCAATTGAGGGAAACTTCTCATCCCTGAGGGATGTAATCTCCTTTCCTCTAAAGACACACAACTTGCAACAACCACAACCCTCCAATTTATTATGAAATATTATGAAATCCTGAAAAGAGCATTGGACTTGAAATCAGAATATATGACCTGAAATCCAGTCTCTGTGAGTAAGGTAGTCACTTACCTTGGTAAGGTCCTTGTGAATCTGGGTTTTGTTCACTGTTGGGCGTGAACACAAATATTTACTTCAGAACCATTGTAATGGTCAATTTAAACAAATCATATAAAAACAAGTATCCAAACTGTCTGAATTTTCTAGCTAGAAAAATTTTCCAACTAAGGCTGTTGACTTTAGGTCCTCAGAGTTACAACTGTATTGTAGATGTTCATGAAAAAAAAAAACTATTATCCATGGAAGTAAAAGCCAATATGATAACAGAAGGTGGCAAAATCTCTACTGGCTAAATTAAATGTTGCTATTAACAGAACTTTACATATTAAAATATAAAGAAAAATTATAGAAGTATTATCGCCTAGATTTTTTTAATCTGGAAGATTTATTTTCAAAATTTTTTATTTTGTATTTCATCAGTGAGATTAAAAGCTCAAAATCCATAGTAATATAAAACGTAAGTGTAGACATATCTGTAGGTCATAGACAACAGAAATTTGATGAGAAAATATACTTTCTTACTCTTTTCCTTCCCTTGTCCCCCACAGTTTGCTTACTAATATTCCTTACCATAATTAATTCTTGATGGATATGTGATGGTATAAATTAGATCTAATTTTTGATAATGAATTTACTACATATTTTAAATACAGAAATAGTATATTCTTGATATCAAGAGATGTCTGCTTTATCTTTTTAAAAAGAAACAAGATTTCTTGAAATTATGCCACTAAGGAAAATATGAAAAAAAGTTCGGTGATTCTAGTTTATCTGTTCTAAATTTGCAAAGCTCCAGTGCAACAAGATGGTAAATAGTTGATAGGTATGTGGCCCCAAGTTTGCTCTTATAGATACATAGATATTTATTTTTTATTTATTTTATCTATAAAATTATAAAGAAAGAAAATATTCTTTTATATAAAATCTAGATTGGCCTATTCTGAGTATAGATACACAAATATTTATTTTTGTATTTCTATAATATTGTAAGGAAAGAAAATCTTTTTTCCATGTAAAAATCTAGATTGCACCACTTTATCAATCCTCAGAGAAGTTATTACTCTTAAGAGTGGCCTCTTTAATGGGGCTAAGAAAGGTAGTAAATACATTCATGTGTAAAATTTAAATAATGGAAGAACTTACTCAGAAATCTTTTAGGGCACTCGTGTGTTTATAAAATAAATATGTTAACAATCAAAGAGGTCATTCTCTCATTATTAATGCAAACTGTTTTTCTCCTGAGGAATAAGTGATATAGTTTCTGAAGATTTCCAGGTCACTAAAAAGACATACATCAAGCTAGTTGCTTACTTGAGTTCAAATTAAAAAGAGGCCAACTGAAGTTACCAGTTGTAAACACTTTTTGAAACTGGCAAAAGGACCAGAGCCTAAAGTAGGCTACCCCTTGAGGGACTCAGTATATTAAACATGCAGAACAAAGCAAATTATCATTAACCCACCTGAACTGAAGTTTTCTTCAAACTTGAAAATAATTGTTGCCTTCCTCCCTTAAGAAGAGAGGAAGTACTTTTGTTTACTAATGCTATGGATAGAATTACATCTATCACTTACCTATCAGATAGTACAGAGAAGGCTATACAAGCTGTTAACACCTAACTTTGACATTTACTCTCAACATATGGTCACTTTACTTTAGCAGATATTCACCATAAATAATAATTTTTCTTCTATTTTTGATAGCATGTGTTGTTTTATAGTGAATGTCTAAGTAGTCTGCTTTCTTCTTATCCAATGTGTATATAATTGTATGCAGTCAGTAGTTTTCTGTACTTAACCTCATTTGCTATACCTTGTTTTTAAGTTTTGGTACATATTTTTCTTTTGAAAACTGGCCAAATATCAATAAGGAAGCATGCAATAACAGTTTTCCTGTATTCAACAAAACTGAAATGCATTTTGTAATTTACTTTTAGTGAACCTTTCTTTGAGTTTGAGTACTCATTTTATTATCACTCTACACAGTTTACATCATATTTTACCTCTATGAAAATATTTATTAAGGGCATTATTGTAGAACTATTTTCTGTCCCTATTTAAGCTCTGTTAGGTATGTTGATAAGTCATGCTCCATATCTTTTCCAATGCTTCAAAGATAGATCTGACCCATTAAATCCCTCAGCATAAAGTGTGTTCTTCCTCCCATAGGTCAGGATTTTGAAGACACCAATTTGTTTTTCATTTTTCCAGGTAGTCTCCTTCAGAGATGTGTCCTATACAGCAGTCTCATGTCACTTCACCTAATAAAATGTAGCATGACAGAGCAAATCACAAGCAGATGCAATTAGAACATTTATCAAATATAAGATATATTCTTTTCCAAATATGTGAAACTCAGCTCTAAAAAATTGATATGTGCTTTAAGGATATTTTCAAATAACAAAAAACAATTTTGCTTGGTAATGTGGTATGGCTGGTAGGGTGGGGGGTATCCAGAAAGGATGATC